TTAAACCCAGAGTGAAGCGAGTGAATCGATGCCCATTTTGGCTAATCGCAGACATATCTGTTGAGCTCCTGAACACAACGGCCATTCAGCTTATGCTGATATGCTCTCTCATTGGCTGCTGCTAATCACCACGTGACTGCACATTGGGTCGAGTAGGCCGTCTGCTTTGGAATATTCAGCATGCTAGATATTTGATTTTCGTCTATGATGTGTTGTTCAGTAGTTCACACATAAAGACTGCTGAGCACCACCAGATTTTTCCCCTGATCACAGCCCAATCTGATGGCGAGCTTGTTAACTTCCAAATCGGGCTCAATAGGGTTAAAAATCCTGTAGTGTTAACTAGGCTTAATGAAATGTAAGGAACTATTATTATTTATTATTATTATTATTATTTTTTTTTATTATTATTATTTTTTATTTATTTATTATTATTAGACCCCCAGTTTGGTGTAGATTTTTAAAATCTTATACAATTCCTTCAAAAATGTGAAGGTAACTTTTAGCACAGTTCTGTTATGTAAACACATACAAATTACAACACATAGTGAAGTGTAAAAAACCCTTATGTCTAGAGTTGCTTTTTAACCTTCTGGTGCTGCTCATTTTTAATACAAAAAGTTAGCTTGTGAAAGTTTAAAAATCACTGTTTCTTTGTAATGTGCTAAACTCTTCAAAGTTTTTTTCACCTGCCATGTGAACATGCGTATATACACAAAAATCATGTATATAATTAGAAAAAAATTAAAATGTCAACATTGAAAATCAAATGTTGTATAGATTTATGGCTTGAGTTTTTTAGCCTTAAAATGTGTTTCAGAATATTTTTTGTAACATTTTTTAAAAGTTTTTTTTTTGTTATTTTCACAACAATATAAAATAAAATGTCTATTTTTTTAAACTATTAATTTAACTTCTTTATTTTTCCCCACTTCAGCAATAATCTGCCAAGTTTCTTCCTCAAAAAGAGATTAACAAAACGTACAATATTTTTCTTTTCTGGTCTATGCTCACAAAGTAGTTAAAGGGTCATAAATGGATTATAACTGATACATAAATATAATTTATTATCATAAACCCCCTAAAACCCCTCTTGCTGAACTTAAATATGGTACATTCATTTAATTGAAATTTGTTTTATGATGTGGTCAGTCATAAATTTTGAGCTAGCATGTATTTTCAGCTAGCATGTAGAGAGAAGCAGCTTAGTAGGTAAAAACACAAGAAACATAGTAATAAAGTTTAAGAAAAAGATCTGGAGATGCACTTTTTAAAGTTTAACTTCTTTTAAGAAGCAACACATTTACAGAACAATCTTAGAATAAAAGATTAGAATAAAGGGTAAAAGTTGAATCTCCTTTGAATTTCGCTACACGATTTTAGAAAATCTCAGCACGGTGGTCAGACCCATCCAGCTAGAGCCTGTTTACTTGAGCAACCCAAGAAATGCATCAGAGTGAACTAACAATTCAAACCTTTTCCATGGGGTGATGCATTAAATTGCTGTCGTAAGTGGTTCACCATGCATTTGGAAAATATATTTTTTATTAGTTTAAATGGGATCACAGCACCATGTTCTCTGTTCTTGTGTTTAAGACCTCTACAGATAGCAGTCTTCTCATTAAACCGAACTCCTGCAGTGACGGAGAATCATATGCCAGTGTGATTCAACTTGAGAACACTGGGCCCAACCATCTCTATTATCCAGTGCCGTTTGTTCAACCTCTAGGGGTTGTGCATATAAACAATTGATGATTATGCTGAAAAAAACATATGTAGTGCAGCCAGCCCTTGATGTTTATTGGATAAAATGCTTAATTAATGCATTCACAGGTGAAAAGTCTCCAACAGATGCTTGTGGGGAGATTAAAAGGCACGGCGCAGCAGAAACGTAGTTGCTTCAAATGTTGTGCCTGCTTTCTCTCATATGTAGAAACTACCTTATGTTCTTCATTTCAACAACTTAACGAGACTGAAATATAGAGCACAGTGCAGTCACATCTCCTCTGCTCCTTCAGTTTTTTCTTGTCGAGCAGTCGTCAGAGTCTTTATGCTACTTTGTAGTGGGAATGAAGAAAAATGGCCTGAGGATATTTTCAACAGACCTGAGGGTTCACGGGTGAAAAGACTTAGATCAGTGAGGAGTAATTACGCGTTTCCGTCCGGTATCACTGGAAAACAGAGAGAAATAATATTCTTGCGCCCTGTCAGACTGTCATGCCTGTCGGTCATAGTCTAGACACTCTTAATCAAATATGATTCAAGCTAAAGATGCCTTAAATGGTGGCTGCTTGGCTCGCTTTGATGCAGGACCCCTGGAAATAGACAAGCTGGACTGCAGATTAAAGAGCGTTTGTCATGTGACTGATCAATGTCAAAAGGAGCAGACAAGGAAAAAACTCATTTCACACTTTTAGTAGGCCTAAAACATTTTGTCAACATGCTAGGCATTGCTTTTCAATGGCTGTCAATGTTGAAACGTATTGTTTAATCCCAGCAAGCATTTTTTTTTTGTTTTTAAAAGATGTCTAATAGATGCCTAAAAGATGTCTAAACATAGTCGTCTTGGCAAAAAAACAAGGCTAAATTTGGGCTGTCAGTGAAAACCTAAAAGATGTCTAAGAACAGGCCAAAACTGTACTAGCCATCAAATAAACAGAAATGAATGACTACATATATAATGTCTGTCTAATCTATTTGACAACTAGTCTAGTTTTGGGGTATCCTTAGATATTTATTAGATGTTCAAGCTATCTACATTTAGGTGTCTATAGGCATCTATTAAACACAAAATTGTTTATCATCATATTGTTTATTATTATCATAATCATATTAATAGTACCATAGTTATGGGTGATTTGATTTTTCAGGGGTTGCTTGTGTGAGTAAAGTCTCTCAAGGAAATTCAGTTTAGCCAATGAAAATAACATCTCAATAGTTGAGTTATTTGCATAACAGTAATTGTAAAGAGTATGTTGTTTTTGTGGTGTTATCTTGGATGTTTTTGTCTGTCAGTGATTAATATGGCACAGAAATCACCAGCAGGTGACAGTAAGTCCCTGTCTTAAAGAGATAGTTCACCCAAAAATAAATATTTACTCACCGATTACACACTGTCAAGTTCTTCCAAACCTTCATGATTTTCTTTTTCTGTTGAACACAAATAAAAGATATTCTGAAACATGCTGTAAACCTGTAACCAGTGACATCCATATTAGGAAAAACTAACACTATGGGTGCAAATGGTTACTGGTTTCCAGCATTCTTCAGAATATCTTCTGTTCAACAGAACAAAGAAACTCAATTTTGGAACAAGTGAAGGGTGAGTAAATGATGGAAGAATTAAATTTTATAGGTGAACTATCCCTTTAATGAGTAATTCATTGGTTTGTTCAGAATGGCTGATGCAATTAGAAACAATTAAAGAAAAAAACACTTTGATTGATGATTGAATCATGAAATCGCTTGATTTATTCGGGACCAATGCTCTGACATGTACTAAGGTCCTGCTCTGGTTGTTTGAAACCAACTACTCTGTTGGTAAAACAGATTAACTCACAATATTGTGTCTAAAATTATAACTTAACCAAAATGTATTCGAATGGGCAAATAAATAATGCCAGCATAAATAAGCCTGGATTAGATCTATAGTGAATATTTTTAAATGTGATTTTTTATTTTATTTTTTTTTATTTATTTTTTTTTTTTGTAATAGCTCACAGCATAGTATGCAAGTAAGCAAATTTTAGTTTTGTGATTTCAGCTGCAAAACCATGATATGATGTGCCCCCGGCTACATTTGCATGACACTTTTATTTAACAGAAAGCTAAACTGTGCTTTTTAAAAATTTAACTATTGTTGCTTCAGTGTAAACTACAAAACATGATTTTGTGAAAACTGACAACCTGACACTGTCTCTTAGTGTTTAGCACTGTCACCTCACAGCAAGAAGGTTGTGAGTCCCAGCTAGGTCAGTTGGCTGTTTTTTGTGGAGTTTGCACATTCTCCGCATGTCTCCTCCGCGTGCAATGGTGCTCTGGCGATTTGTCCTACCATGTCAGATCGTCCTACTTCCCACTCAATAAGAAGCACATTTTGATGACACAATATGCTTCCTATTAGACTTTGCTACGGGTGTAAATTTTAATGTGGAGTGGTGTAAAATGAAATTGTAATATCACCCTAACCCACCTATCTCTAACCCCAACCTCAGAGGCATTCAAATACAGCATAATCTAATGGGTAGGATAAAATGTCAGGACACTGGCTTCCCCCACAGTCCAAATACATGTGCTATAGGTGAATTGAATAAACTAAATTTGTGTATGTGTTTGAATGGAAGAGTGTATGGATGTTTCCCAGTACTTGATTGCAGCTGGATTGGCATCCGCTGTGTTAAAAACATACGATGAATAAGTTGGCAGTTCATTCCGCTGTGGTGAACCCTGATGAATAAAGAGACTAAGTCGAAGGAAAATGAATGAATCATTTTAAGTTTCAACATCACGCAAGATGCACTATTTACCCCTACCCCATTCAAATTAATTGATGAATGTTAGTATAGATAACAGGTTAACTAAAAACACCAATAATTATCTTGCATCCTTTAAATACATACGTGTTTTCTGTTCAAACAACTTAAAAAGTTTAACAGGAGCCTGCCTGTGCATGAGACGGTGTAGTTTGGTAAGAATTTTTGTTTGGACGATTAGCGCCCCAAACAGTACCCTGTTCTAAAACTACTTCATTGTGAACCGGTTTACTACCAAATGTTTGTGACAAATAAAAAAAAACTTCATTTAAAATCACCACGCAAAGTGAATTTCTGGTTACCTGACAAAAGAATTTCCACACCTCCTCTTGCTGCCTCAAGTCATGCCGTGCGTATCTTTGCTGGAGGCGCGCGCTCACGGAGAGCAGAGGTTGTTATGACAACTCCCGCGCAAAAAAAGAGATGCGCGGCTCTCTGCATGATTTGTCTCAGTTCAGAGCGCGAGCCAATCATCTGGCCAGATTCCCCTCTGATCACGCGCTGGATTTACAATTCCGAGCAGCTGCTTAAAAAATAACTTGGAGCGAAAGTAACCGTCGCCATGGGGCAACACGGCGCCAACACTGCCTTGTTGTTTAGTAATTTTAAGGTGAGAGAAAAGCAAGGTGAACATTCGAGCTAGACAAACAGCTGGAAATGAGTTTGAGGAGCTGAAAAGATGTTAAGTCGGACTCGTATTTATGAAGAGAGGAATGAGAGGATCAGCCACACATTCGTGGCTCAACTGTTACCAACTTCTTCTGCGTGGATGGAGGAATGACTGTCTTTTACAAGTACGGGAAAAGAAAAAAAGATTCTCAACTACTTTTGACTTTAACATGTACATTCCGTTGATAATTTGATTTTTCTTTTTACCTCTCAGGTTGCGAGAATAACTTTTTAAACCTCGAAATACGAGTTGGTCCGGGATGCCAGAAAACATCGCCTTTTTGACGAACAGCACAGATTTGGGGCACGTCGGTCGCGCGTTGGGTTCGAGCGCGCGCCCCGCCTGGGCGATAGCGGTGCTGGCCAGCGTGCTGATCTTCACCACTGTGGTGGATGTTTTGGGTAACCTGTTAGTCATAATCTCGGTGTTCAGGAATCGTAAACTGAGAAATGCGGGTGAGCTTTCATTTGTCTTTTGGTCCACGCGCACTGTACTCTGTTCATTGATAAAGCTTCACGTGCCGTTCGGCACTAGTGCTGAATGTGGGAAACAGATAATAATTACTGCACTGAACGAATGAATTAACAGTAATCAGTCGAGTTGTGTCATCTTTGTTTGACAGAAATCTTCTTTGACGTGTTTACCTTAAACGTAAATTATACATGTTGAAAACGCGTGCTTCTGTTCTTTACCACAGCTGTGTAGTTTGAGGGCTTTGAGTTGATTTGAATGTAGACCCTTTACTCTTATAACTACTTATCTAACTCTCGACGTATGCGCTAAAATCACAAAACAAAAAAACGTATTTATGGTTAGTTACATTATAGAAATAATAAGAAAAATTACATGCAAGTGGCAAAACAACTTATGTAACCATTCCAGCCAAACAGCAAAATTCTGTAATCTATGTCATCTTTTTCGAAACCGCCTTTGAGATCGTTTTAATGAAAGTGTAGCATTTTAGTACTGAATATGCTCATGCATTTCAAACTTAAGGCTTCTCCAGTGGCAGCTGTATAAATATTTTTTTTTCTCACACATACGTTCATTTTTGTGAAGAAACACCTTGTTTCAGCATTTTTTCAAAAGTCTGAGCTTTTGGTAGTTTTAAGTTCACTTCACCTTGACCAAGTCATGAAAAATTTACAGCGCCTTATCGCTCTCAGCAGTAAGGCTTCAAAGACTTTCGACTGTAGTTGAGCATAATTTTTCAGTGTACATCAGTGAAAATCTGGCACCCTCCTGTGCCTAGTTAGACCTTTTCTTTAATTGTAAATGGAGGCATTTGATGCTTTGAAATTGATGTTGAAACTAATTACCCACTTGAACGACCCCCTAACAGCATGAACAAATTGTTTTTTTCCACACATAATCTTGTCTGGAAAAGAAGTGTTTTTGGGAACACCTGTGGACCCCCCCCCCCCCCCCCCCCATTTTTTTTCTTTTACACTGCTTTGTATTAGGCTTAATTCATTGTTCTATATTCATATGATGGTGGTATTTTATTCATAGGGAATATATGTAGAGTTTATAAAACTTGTAAAGCACTTAAAACAGCACCAGATGTTTCTCTGTCACACACAAAAAGATCTGCTGCAAGCAGAAAAGCTTCAAGTACCAGTATTAAACTGTAATTGCAAACACTGCAAAAAATAAAAAATAAATAAATAAAAAAAACTCAATGCTGTTGCTCTCCTATCTAAAACATACAGTAAAGGTATGCCTAAGCATTGTCCTTTATAGAGTTGCATCTTGCGACAACACATGCTTTTTAAAATTCACTAGATGTCTTTGGTCTGTGTTGTGTCTAAGTGTAAGTCAAATGCCAGCAAAGTTGTTGAAAGTGGACTGAGAGCTGTTCTTTCAGCACCCTTGATGCACTTTTTTTTGTGTTCACCAAAGTTCAGATGGCAGCATTTAACACTTATTCAAATAAAGCACTCTAAATTACACTAAAGTACTCTAGTTGAACTATGATGTCAATCTGCTGTTGGACTTTTGATGCATGACTTTCAGCCTGTGACAATGAATGTGCATATAATGCATGCATGTGTTTGTGGGGTCGTTTCACACACCACTGATGCAATTCAGCGGGACTGCATTCAGAACCCCTTGACAGTGTGTGCATCTGCCGGGACAAACGCATGGAGAGCACTCACACAAGAGTGTACTTCAAAGCTCATACTTTTCATATTGAGCAAGAGCCAGACCTGTCTGCTTCAAAGGCGCTCTCGCAGTCTTATTACACCCTCTTTCTGATAGACACTCCTGACTCTCTCTCTCTCTCTCTCTCTCTCTCTCTCTCTCTCTCTCTCTCTCTCTCTTTCTCAATGCCTTCCCCCTCCAAAGCTCATGGAGGTGGCATCATCGGCTCATTAGATTGAGTATGAATGCTGTCAAATTTTGTGCGTGGTTTCCCCCCGATGGCCATGACGACTACCGCTGTCTTCTCGCCTCTCGCCTGAGAGGATCCTGTGTAAAGGAGGACAATTTTTCAGCCCTTTGTCATTACTAGAACCAATCAGGCATCTCACACAAGCAATAACTCTGTCACTAAGACCCAAATAGGCATTAAAGCACCAGGAAACGGCGCATGGAGAAACGATAGTGCACTCTGTGTCAACTAACAACAAGGGCAAGACAGATGAGAAACAACAGAAACTGAAAGCCGCCAAACAAGTGTTCCCACTTCCCAGAATCCAGATTCTTGTTAATCACACCGAACGAACATGCACAGGCGTAAAAAATTTATGACTGGTAAAAAAATCTCAGTCTTTTACATTCTGATGAGAGTACGGGAATGAAAGAGACTGTGTAAAAGGATCCTTTCTCTCCACGAGTCTGTTTATGTTATGGAGAACAGATGCTTTATTAGTCAGACTTCCATGTCGAGTTCACATTTAGGATTACTTGTACAGCTGTCAGGCACATGGCGGCCAGGGCTTCTGGAGTATCGCTGTCCGCTGGCCTCTCTCCCTTACTCCGTCCCTTGTGTGGTTATGTAATCGTGTCTCTGGAAAGGGGGGTAAGTGCCAAGTGAAGTCCCCCTGCTGTCAGATTCCTGGCAGGCCCCTGCTCAGCCACATGAGTGTGGATGCTACAGCGGTCAGCGGGACCGTCAGCACGTGTTTGTGAGCTCTGAGGTGTGTTTGTGTGGGAAATGGCATCGTAAGCCACAGGAGACTGTGAACATGAGTGGAGACAGATGGAGTGTTTCCGTGCTGTGACTGAGAAAGTGTAGTCAGATTTTAATTGAAGTCAGAAAAAATAAAGGATTTTGCGGATTAAACCTGCAAACCGGGGTGGAGTTACAGTAGCTGTAGGGCCAAATCAAATCTGTGGACAATTTTGCTATTTCTGCCCAGAATAAAGAAATCTGTGTATTTATCTGGAATGATTTTAAGAATATAGTTATCTAAAAACTCGTGACAAAAAACAAAACTGTCAAAACATAAACTGTTACTTAAGGTTTACAAAGCAAATCCAATTCTGTTGTCACATACAAACAAAGAGATAAAGAGATGTGCCCTTTTTTTGATTGTTGTGTGAAAAAGTTCATCATGAACATTACCTAAATGTGACAATAGACCACTAAAAGTCTGAAATGTCAAGTTTTTTTAATTAAATTGAGATTTATACTAGAGATGCTTCGATCAATCGGCTGGAGTTTGGCAGATAATCACATTTTTTGACATCTCATCCGATCGCAGGTGTTTTAAATTGGATACAATACCCCAGAAATCTTGCAGATGAAAGTGAATTAGCAACAAACCAACAAATTGTGAGAGGCACAGTGATGTTCTAAGCTTCACATTTGTTAGGTTAGATGAATAGCACAGTAAAGATATCTCAGGTGCACATCCCTGTCTCTCTCATTGAGTGATCAAGTTGCTGTGAGGGAACTGTGGTCACAGACGTGCTTGTTGGAATGGAGAGCTGAATATTGGAATGGCCTTGCATGTATTTAGGCCTTTTTACATGTAAAAACTGAAAGATCTGCAATTTTGACTGTTTTTATGTATTATTTTCTGTTATGCTACTTCTGTCCACACAAAACGGTTATAAGAGACATGTTCAATGGGTTTTATGGAACCTCATTTATTCTCCCAGGTAAGGAGGGATCTTCACTTAAGATTCATACTTAGAAGGAAAATGTGCTTTATGCATTATAAAGCTTTAAGCATCAGAATTGGCAAGTAATCAGTACTCTGTATCGGCTGCAAAAATCCTGATCGGAGAATCTTTAATCTATACATTTCATGAAAGCTGATAAATAAGCTTTTCTATTGATTTAAGATTTGTTAAGACAAGTCAATATTTGACAGATACAACTGAATATTTGAAGGGTTGAAAAATCTTAATACAAATAAAATTGCCTTTTGTCAGTAATAAACCCAGAGCATTGCAGAATCCTTTATTGCTTTTATTATTATTACCATTAATAATAGTTATAATAATAATAATAATAATAATAATAATAATAATAATAATAATAATAATAATGATGATAATGATAATAATAGCAATTACAATAATAAATGAATAAATAAATAAATAAATAAATAATATTAGAGAGATTTCTGAAGGATCATGTGACTCTTGAGCAATGTAGTTAATTTTTTAAATCACCTGAATAAATTATTAAATTAAATTAACTACATTTGAACAGTTACTTCATAGTTCAATAACTTTTTCAAAATTTTACAATTTGTACTGTATTTTTGATTAAATAAATGTAGCCTTGGTGAGCCAGATGACCTTATTTTAAAAACATTAAAAAAACTACTAACCCTAAACCTTTGACTGGTAGTGTACACCTTATGAAAGGTGAATAAATTAGCTTTCCATTGATTGATGATTTGTTAAGAAAGGCCAATATTTGACCGAGATACAACTATTTGAAAATCGGAGTTACCAAAAAAAAAATCTTAATGCAAATAATAAAATAAAAAATGTTTTAATAAATTTACAGTACAGTAGGATCTTTTCTAAAAATCTTGATGGATCATGATCTTTACTTAATATTCTAATCATTTTTGGCATAAATCATTGTAACCCTTTCAATGTATTTTTGGGGTAGTACGGTGGCACAGTGGGTAGCGTTGTCACCTCACAGCAAGAAGGTCACTGGTTCGAGCCCCGGCTGGGTCAGTTTGCATTTCTCTATGGAGTTTGCATGTTCTCCCTGTGTCCAAAGACATGCGTTAGGTGAATTGGGTGAGCTAAATTGTCCATAGTGTATGTGTGTCCTGGTTCTCCAGGTTGGGGGTTGAGCATTGGGCTTAAGACCCACCTCGTAAAAAAATTGATGTTACAAAATACGAACATGGTCCTGGGAGTAAATAAGTAATGTATTTTTAGAAAAAATATACCCATGCAACAGGGGACTGGTTTTGTGGAAGTTATGTGGGTTTGATATAACATAACTGTGAAGGATTTTCATTCTTGGCCAGAA